CAGCAAGAGGAGCAATGAGCGGGATTGTCACTTCCACTTGCTCCAGTGCTAAAGAAACAACCTGGCTATAGGAATTTAGGCCTTACTGAGTGAGATAAGAAGCCATTGGAGGGCTGTGGGAAGAAGAGTGACAGTTGACTTACTCTTTATTTATTTATTTATTTTCCCCACCCTCCAACTTACACTTTAAAGAATGACTCTTGCTGCTCTGTGGAGAATAGATCATAGGAGACAAGGGTCATAGCTGGAAGTACTGTTAAGAGGCTACTGCAATAATCCAGGCAAAAGACAATGGTGGCTTGAGACAGGACGGTAACAGTGCAGGTGGTAAGAAGTGTTCCACATATATTTTGAATATAAAGCCATGATTTGCCAAGGGTTTAGATGTAGGGTATGAAAGAGCAGTCAAAGATGACCATGAAGATTTTTGCTTAGTGATTGGAAAAATGGGAATTGCCATATATTGAGACAGGAAGAGCAATTTCATGAGGTCAGGAGTTCGGGGCTTGCCTATTAGAAATGTTGAGCAGACGGGCCAGCCCATGGCTCACTTGGGAGAGTGTGGTGCTGATAACACCAACGCCAGACCTGGGGCACAGCTGCCCCCAGGATCTTGCTCCCTGCATCCCAGCTGCTCTAGCTGGAGCAGCCCCAAGTGTGGTTCATGTAGCACCTCTGCAGAGTAGAGGCCTGAAACCCCAGGGTGTCTGCAGGCCGGCAGGATGTGAGAGCAGTGGAGGTGTGGCAGCCTCCACCCAGATTCCAGAGGATGTATGGAAAAGCCTGGGGGCCTGGGCAGAGACCTGCCACAGGGGCAGAGCCACCGCAGAGGCCATCTACTAGAGCAATGCCAAGCAGGCATGTGGGGTCAGGGACCCCACAGAGAAACCCCACCAGGCAAATGTCTAGTACAGCCAATGCAGCAAGGCTGCCACCAGGACTCCAGAACTGCAGGGTCACTGGTAATATGCAATGTGGGCCTGGAAAAGCTGCAGGCACCAGTGCCACCCACTGGGAAGTGCCTGGCAGAGCTGTGGGAACAAGGGTGCCTGAAGTTTTGGGGGCCCTGATGCCCAATTGTGCCCAGGATGTAGGACTTGGAATCAAAGAAGATTGTTTTGGAGTTTTAAGACAATGTCTGCCCTGCTGGGTTTTGGACTTGCTTGGAGCCTGTCTCTCCTTTCTTCTGGCCTATTCCTCCCTTCTGGAGTGGGAATGTGTACCCAACGTGTATTCCACCATTGTATCTTAGAAGTAGATAAATATGTTTTTACAAGTTCACAGTTGGAAGGACTTTTGCTTTTGGTCTCAGATGAGACTTTGGACTTTTTTTTTTTTTTTTTTTTTTTTTTTTTTTTTTTTTTTTCATGACCAGCAACGGATCGCAACCCTCAGTGTCATGCCCGTACCGGACCGGGACCGGCAACGGGATC